CGTGCTCCTCCTCCAGCCGTGGCCGAGGTCGAGTTCGAGTTCCCTTCGAGATTTCGCTCGAATTGAGAAGGGGAAGTATCTAGCGCGTGTGTTCGACCGGCGTTCGAGCTCCTCCTCGCCCTCTACGAGAGGAAGCGCGTACGGATGCAGCGTTACGTTTCGGCTGTATTTATAAATATCAAAACGGGTGCACGTTTTGAGACGCTTGGCCTTGCCACTTCGATTATTCATTATTCGTTTGTCGATTAGTTATAACTATCCCGAAGCTTCGAAGCTTTTTATCGTAAATGTCCAGTAGTTGCTCGAAACGTTTTATTTCATTTTCGAAGAATCATTTGAGCATGTACGCGAGACGTGTCCCGGAGGGAGATAGGATTCGCGCCCTCGAAGAAGGGCGAAAGCTAAGGGAGAGGAGAATAGCAGTTATTCTTTTCCTCCTCCTTTTTTGCTTCTTCTCTCTTCACGTTGGTGATCGTTACACGTGTGTTACACGCTTCGACCCTCTCTCTATCTCTCTTCTTTTTTACGCTCCTCGGCCGGAAGCCCTATTTTCATCGAGCGAATCGTTTTGATCGACCTGACTCTGATGAACGCGGGAACGATAGGGGTTATGGTGTAATTGTTTTGATTGAGGACGATCAAGGGGATCTCTCTCTCTCTCTTTATTTATCTAGGTATCTATTTATCTATCTTTTTCTTTCTTGTCTCTCGTCTCTCTTTTTTCTCTCTCGTTTCTCTCATCTCTCTCTCTTTTCTCTCTCTTTTCTTTCGTCTCTTATCTCTCGTCTCTCTCTTTTCTTTCTCGTTTCTCTCGTCTCTTGTCTCTCGTCTTTCTCTTTTCTTTCTCGTTTCTCTCGTCTCTCTCTTTTCTCTCTCATTTCTCTCGTCTCTTGTCTCTCGTTTCTTGTTTCTCGTCTCTCTCTTTTCTTTCTCGTTTCTCTCGTCTCATTTCTCTCGTTTCTCTCTTTTCTCTCTCATTTCTCTCATCTTTTGTTTCTCGTCTCTCTCTTTTCTCTCTCATTTCTCTCGTCTCTTATCTCTCGTCTCTCTCTTTTCTTTCTTATTTCTTTCGTCTCTCTCTTTTCTCTCTCATTTCTCTCTTTTCTCTCTCTTTTCTCTCGTCTTTTATTTCTCATCTTTCTTTTTTCTTTCTCGTTTCTCTCATCTCTTGTCTCTCGTCTCTCTCTTTTCTTTCTCGTTTCTTTCATCTCTTGTCTCTCATCTCTCGTCTCTCTTTTCTCTTTCGTTTCTCTCGTCTCTTGTCTCTCGTTTCTTGTCTCTCTTTTCTCTCTCGTTTCTTGTCTCTCTTTTCTCTCTCGTTTCTCTCATCTTTTATCTTTCGTTTCTCGTCTCTCTCTTTTCTCTCTCATTTCTTTTATCTCTCTCTTTTCTGTCTAGTTTCTCTCATCTTTTGTCTCGTCTCTCTCTTTTCTCTCTCGTTTCTCTCGCCTCTTGTCTCTCGTCTCTCTCTTTTCTTTCTTATTTCTTTCGTCTCTCTCTTTTCTCTCTCATTTCTCTCATCTCTCTCTTTTCTCTCTAGTTTCTCTCATCTTTTGTCTCTCGTCTTTCTCTTTTCTCTCTCGTCTCTCTCTTTTCTCTCTCGTCTCTCGTCTCTCTCTATTCTTTCTTATTTCTCTCGTCTGTCTCGTTTCTCTCATCTCTTGTCTCTCATCTCTTGTCTCTCGTCTCTCTCTTTTCTTTCTTATTTCTTTCGTCTCTCTCATTTCTCTCGTCTCTTGTCTCTCGTCTCTCTCTTTTTTTTCTCGTTTCTCTCGTCTCTTGTCTCTCGTCTCTCTCGTCTCTCTCTTTTCTCTCTCATCTTTCTCGTCTCTCGTCTCTCTCTTTTCTTTCTTGTTTCTCTCGTCTCTCTCTTTTCTCTCATCTCTTGTCTCTCGTCTCTCTCCTTTCCCCCCTCTTTCTCTCTCTCTCTCTCTCTATCTCTATCTATCTATCTATCTATCTATCTATACATCTATCTATCTCTGTCTCTCCGGTTGTATCGATTCGAAGGGATGGAAGTCGAGTCGAGCGCTTCTCGATTTGGAAGGATGTTTATATATATAAATCGAGTATTCTGTATTTCTGTCGGATTTTTCCTTTCTCCCAGATGCGCGTTTTGTAATTTCGGGAGAGGGGAGGAAAGAAGGGAAAGAATTACTTCGCCGTATTATCCACGGTGATACATATCTACGGTGTCCCTTCGGTTGGAGTTTCGAGGCGCGGTTATCGGGCCCGCTCATTGTTTCCGTAATTATATAGAGGACGATTTGCGCGCGGCGTGATCGATACAATGCGGGGACGTTGTAACGAAACGCCGGGAACAATACGACCCTTGTTGCCCGTTCCGCGAGCGTAATGTTTTACGCTCGCGTGTAATTGCAGCCCGGCCGGTGATGTTACGTACGACGAGGACGAGGACGGCGTGCGTCATCCGGAATTGCGCGTTCCAACCGGCCGCTTCTATTATTATTATTATTATTTTTTGTCTTCCAAAAGGAAAAAGAAAAATTACTTGCAAAATTGAAAATTGACTCTCTCGAATCCTTGAAGAGTTGGATTGGAAGGAAATGGAAACTCTCTCTCTCTCTCTCTCTCTCCCGATTCGCATATTTTTTCGCTCTCTCTCTTCTTCGAAGAGAGAGAGAGAGAGGAAGTGGACATTTCGAAACGAATTGAAAAGAATTCTACGTTCGTCGATCCTGATCGATTTCACGGTAGAATTATACGTGTATATTCGAGGAAGGAAGAGAGAGAGAGAGAGGAGAAGAAGTAGAAGAAGAAGAAGAAGAAGAAGAAGAAGGTATCTCGGGGGTTAGAGTCGGAGGAGCACGGTCGCGACGAGGAGAGAATGTCAGGGTCGTACTTTAACCCCTGGCTGTCCTTCGAGCTTCCTCCCCTTCGGTCGTCGAGCTACGACGTGGTTCCACCCGAGAGTAGCCTTGGATTTTTTTAATTATCGTCGAATCACCGTTAAACACGACACTGTTAGGTGACTCTGAAATTAAGGTACGGCCACTTAAAGGCAAACCCGTAAAGCGACGCCTACGCAGCGGGTATGCACTGCCTTAGTATGCACTTAGGCGCGGATCCAGGGGCGGATCGAGCGCTCCTCGAACCATCGACTTCGGTACAGGGAAGAACTCTCGAACGAGTTTGCATCCCCCTCTCTTTCTCGAATAATTTCAATTTTTTTTACATCACTACGATTTCGAGCTATGAATAATCCGGTTTTGAACCGTTGATTTTAGTACAGGGAAGAGAAGGACTCTCGAACGAGAGTTGCATCCCCCTCTCTTTCTTAGATTAATTTTTCTTAGATCAAAATATTCTTAGATTCCAATTACGAATAATTCAGTTTCAAACTATTAATTTTAGTACAAGGAAGAGAAGAACGAATTTACATCCCCCTCTCTTTTTTATATTAATTTTTCTTAGATTAAAATATTCTTAGATTCGAGCTACGATTAATCCAGTTTCGAAACATCCATCTCAAAGAAGAGAAGAGAAGAATTCTCGAACGAATTTGCATTTTCTTAGATTAAAATATTCTTAGATTCGAGCTACGAATAATTCAATTTCAAACTAATAATTTCAGTACAGGGAAGAGAAGAACTCTCGAACGAGTTTACATCCCCCTCTCTTTTTTACATTAATTTTTCTTAGATTAAAATATTCTTAAATTCGAGCTACGAACAATCTACTTTCGAACCATCGACACTCTGGAACGGGTTTACATCCCCCTCTCTTTTTTACATTAATTTTTTTTAGATTAAAATATTCTTAAATTCGAGCTACGAGGTACATCTCAGAGAAGAGAAGAGAAGAACTCTCGAAATTCCTCTTTTTCTCAGATTAAAATATTCTTAGATTCGAGCTACGAACAATCTACTTTCGAACCATCGACACTCTGGAACGAGTTTACATCCCCCTCTCTTTCTAAATTTTTCTTAGATCACCACGCACCTTTCGAGCTACGAATAATAAATATCGAGGGGACGAATATTCGGATCGGGTGGGTGGCACCGAGGAGATGCGGCCCTGGATGCGGCGCGCACAGGGTGGCCAGACAGAAAAATGGCAAAAGCACTCCACCGATAACTGCCACGAATAAGGGCCGCATAAAGACGAGTCGTAAAACTATGATTTACGGCTTGTCATTGATGCGTTTGCCGTCCGTCCATCCTTACGACGATCCTTCTTCCCCCTCCCCTCCCCTCCCCTCCTCCCCTCCTCCCCTCCTCTCCTCTCCTCTCGCTCGCGAGGCGATAGGCGATAATCGATCAGCCGGTCGAAATCAGCCGGTTAAAATCGAGTCGAACTGTCGCAGAGACGAAGAGAGGGGTGGGGAGGGGGAGGGGGAATAATATCTCGAAAGGGGAAGAAATTTTTTCTCAGGCCTGTTCTTCGAAAAAGAGGGAAACGCCTTTGCAAGCGGAATATTAAGCAAAGAGGAGCGTGTTTTTCTGGCGCACGAAGGATACGACCTTGCCTCGGCCTATTGTCCTCGAGGCGCGAGGTAAGCGTCGGTGCGGTCAGTGGGTTATTTACAGTTTGAAACGCAGCCACGGGTTATTTTTAATGGCCGTCTGCGGTTTCCATCAAACTTCGCCTGACATCTCGCGCGCCCGCCAATTCCAAACTCCATTTTCCGCCTCCCCCCCTCTTAATCGCCTCCCTGCCAATCCCCCGATTTCCACGAGGCTTCGAAGGAACGGTGTTGCTCGACGCGCCTTCGAGCGAAAGCAAGGTTGCCTCGTTACTCAACCCCCGAGGTCAGAGGTCGAAACGATCCTTAAAACAAATTTATTATCATTATTCTTATTATTCTTCTCCCCAACAACCGATTAGAAGAATTCGAAGCAATTCTTCGAACGAATGTATCCAATTACAGTGCTTACAGAAGAGAAACAAATAGGAATTCTCCAATTTTCGACTCCTCCAGTTTTCGACTGCTCGGTCGATAAATCGTGATTAACGATCTTCTCTTCTCCCCGTTTCAGATGTGAGCCTGTGAAGGTGGAATCCTCGAGAAGCGCGAGGTCCTCGCAATGGAGGCGGGACCGAAGCAACAGCAACAGCAGCAGCAGCAGCAGCAGCAACAACAGCCGCAGCAGCAACAAGCTCAACAACAACAACAGCAGCAGCAGCAGCAGCAACAGCAAAATTCGTCGGGCGCCGCGTCGAGCGGACAGGAAGGGAGCGGGCAGGCGACGAGTCCGCAGAGCGGCGGCGGGCAGCCCGCTCAAGGCCAGCCCCAAGCTCAACAAAATCAAGATGCGGCCGCAGTCGCGGCCGCAACTGCGGAGGCCGGCCCGGTGGAAGAGGGGGTGCTGCTGGCCAGGGTGCACGTCCCGGAGCTCTACGTCAGCAAGTGTCTTCAGTTCCCCAAGGATCAGCTGGTCTGGGACGTGAAGCAGCAGTGCCTGGCATCCTTGCCCAAGGTAAGCCCCCCTCCTTCGAGTGACTGACGTCGATGATCCTTTGGGAAGAGTCGGGATCGTCTCGCCCTCGGTGATCGAAAGAGAAACGTGGCAACGTTACTCAAAAGTAATAGCACAGAGTAGCACAGTTCTTCCTTCCTTCCTTTCTTTCTTTCTTTCTTTTTCTCGTCAAGGACGAACGACGAAGGCGTCTTCGAGAGAGGTACGCGGAGGAGGAGAGGAGCTGTGCCACTTTGGTCTTTACGTAGAGATACGTGTAGAAATTGCGTGTGTGCGACATGATATCCGAGGCGAGAAGGCTATCTCCCGACTCTTCTCTTTCTCCCTTCATTTCTCTTTGTTTTTTGTATCGGCGCAGCCGGACAAAACGACTCAGTAAAGTCTCGCGGGATTAAGAGATTGCTACCGTGCGCCGCCGTTTGTTTACCGAGACATCTGTCGGCGAGGGTGGGCAAGCGGCGCACGGAAACGAGCGCGAAACGTTTCGAGGGAGTCCGATGTCCGGCTGCCCCAAGAACTTCGTGATCGAGAGAGAGAAAGAGGTATGATACACAGCCACGCAACACATAAACACTCGAACCAAGTTTTTTGTCCCGTAGAAAAAAGCATTTCTCCTTTCGCCGCGCTTCGTTGTTTCCGCGACAGAGGCGCGACGTGACTATTCCGCTGCTATTCCTTCGCCCTCTCTCCTTCCCTTTTCTCCCTATATATATTCTCCTATCGTTACTATTTCATTCTCCTTGGCTCTTTTCTCCCGGTTATGCAATCAGAGGCAATAAAAACTCAACGATCCGAACGAATCACGATTGCCAATTGCCGTGATAAGGTCCAAGGGTAATGTTCGTATTCCATGAACCAGAGTAATTCCAATATCCTCCTGGAAAGTTAGGACTGATTGACGTAGCGACTCGATAGTTAAACCGTGGAGAAAGGTGTATATACATATATCTTTATATATATATATACGGAAAAGTAGTATTAAGAACTTCTGCACAGACAATTTGATATTTTCGTTAAAACTATTATATGTGTATATATATATTTATATATATACGGACAAAAGTAGTATTAAGAAATTCTTAATTTCTAATCTTCTAATCTTCTGCACGGACAATTGGATATTTTCGATGTTCGTGGCTATCGCACGCGTTAAAACTATTGTATGTATATATATATATATATACATTGTCTTCGACGTATCTGTCCGTCACTCGTCTGTCTCGGATAAACGATGAACCTTGTAAATTCGAGTATTTTTTTATGATTAATCTCGAGGAAACGGTACACACATAGACATACAGACACGTATACATATAATACGAGGTGTGAAAATGAAAAGGCACCGCACGAATGTAAAGGGGGAAAGTGTGTGTATGGATGTATGTATGTATATATATATATATAGTTATTATACTAATTTTAATAGCAAATTATGCACACGATCGATTTTATTAATCGTGTAATAATATTTTTATCTGACCTGTGGCGTTGTTGTTGTTGTTGTTGTTTTTGCTTTTGCCTCACTTGCACGGGGCGTGCGAACACACTACACCCGCCACCACCGAACCACCACCACCAACCACTTCACCTGTGCTACCGTCTCGTTGGGGCCCGATGCATCTTCTTCGAACGCACCCCCGTACTACTACTACTACTACTACTACTACTATTACTACTGCTACTGCTACTACCACCACCACCAACCACCACTACTATTACTACTGCGTCACACCCACGCCGCGAAACGACCGACAATCTCGAACCGATCGTATATCTCGCCCCCGGGCCTTCTCGACCTCCACCCTCCACCTCCACCGGCGTGTTGCGTCGCGGATATACCACCGCTTCTCCACCCCTTTCGAGCGCCTCGCAGGTGGCCACTTGGTACAGGGTACGTCTTCACTATTACTAACTAGCATGCATCCAACCCCCCTATGCAAATGTATCGAGGAAAGAGAACAACCCCTCCACCCGGCTTCTCTTTCGATCGTCTCTCGATCCTCTTCATTTTTTTTTTCTTTTTTCTTCTCAACCCGAACGAGAGAGGAAACGATCACCTTTTTCTGCATGGCGAAACGAACCACCCCTACAACCCCCCTCCCCTCTTGGTTTCGAAACCAAGCTCGCCCCGAGAAAATCGAATGAAGGAAACCTAGAAGAAGGAGGAGGAAGGAAATGGAAGAGATGCTCTTCTTTCTTTTTTTCTTTTTTTCTCGATTCGAAATTTGGATTAATTGATTCGGTGAAAGAAGAAGGGAATAGAATTCGATGAGAAGAGAGAGAGGGGGGACGGTTTAATTAACCGTGGTGGGGGAGAATCGATGACACCGTCCTTATCGATGGGGGTCGCGACAACGACGAGGCAGAGTTATTTCGAGCGCGCGCATTTGCATGCACTTGTATATACCAGCTCCCGCCTTTCAGCGCTAAAGTATCATAGAAGATAAGCGCGTGTATCGGTTCAAGCGTAACGCACACGCGAAGAGGATATATCTATCTGTCTCTCTCTCTCTCTCTCTCTCTACCGCCGTGACCCGTGGTTCACGTTCAAGGATGATTACGATACCTCCTCTTCTCCTTCTCTTTCTTCTTCTTCTTCTTCTTCTTCTTCTTCTTCTTCTTCTTCTTCTTCTTCTTCTTCTCAAGGTCGTGCGACCGCACGCACGCACGCACTTTACAACGTCCTCGAGACGACACCCTTTTCTCGATCCATCTCGACGAGTAGAAATATCGATCTCCGATTTTCCGAGTCGAGTCGAGTCGGAAAGCGTCTGCTCCGTCGATTAACCCTTTGCACTCCAGGCTCAGACCCGCGCGTTCGGTGCGTTCGGTGCGTTCAGTGGTCTCATAACATTACCATAAGATAATTACTCATAAGATAAGATCACACCTCATAAGAATATAAAGAGGTTAAGAAGCTATTTATGAAGCGATATATTCTAAAAAATTAAACATAACTATCAAATTCAAACTAACACCGAAAATGTAATTCGACTCATGATCACGGACTAATTGCAGATAAAAAATCTATCCATTTAACAATGTATTATTCTAATATATATAATATATATAATATAATATATATAATACATATAATATATTATATATAATATAATATATAACCTCATTAGGATTATACATAAAGAGCTTAGGAACCTATTTATAAAGCGATATTCTAAAAAAATAAAACATAAATAAATATAACAATTCTA